CCAGGGCCATCAGGTTGTCGTCCTCCACCCTTATGGGGAGCATAGGCTCTGCTGGTACCTTGTCCCCTGGATTTCCTAGGCAGCCCTAGTAAGATTGTTCATGTTCATACTCGCCCCAGTAGTTCCCATGCTGGAAATATTGTCCATCTCTCGGGGCCAGGTTGTCATTCGGAGCCGTCCATGGGGAGGGAGGGCCTGCGCGCTCTGGTCTGGGTCCCATGCCTCTCTGGGGGCCCCTCCCACGCACCATCTCAGGCGCTCCATGGTAGTAGGTGGCCTCTCCTTCAAAGGGGCAGTCCCTCGCCCAGTGACCGTGCCTGTAACAGAGGTGACACACATCCCTGCCCCCTTTCCAGCTTCCACCCCTTCTTCCTCCCCGGCCCCCACGCCCACCACCTCTGGCCCCTCCCCTTGTCCAGTCCTGTCGTGGTGGAGTGGGAAGTCCAGCAGGCATATTAGTCATCTGATTACTGGTTCCTTTTTTATTCTGGGTGGCTTTATTTCTCGCTTCACTAAGCTGTAACTTCAAAAGTTGACAAGTCATATCTTCAACACTCTTTCTTTCTTTAGTTTTATTTTCAACATATCGCTTAATGTGAAAGATTAAATTTGTTTTCCACTGTGCTGAATCCGGGTTAATATTATCTGGGTTGTCTTCAATCTTTGAGCGTATTGTTTCTGGTAAACCATTCAAAATAGCTGCTCTAAAAGGCATGACTTCACTGACCTTGTGAGGGTGTCTTCCTACTGTGTCCATCCACTTGGTCACACTCCTGTCATAAAATACAATTGGGTCCTCAGACTCCAGCCAAGTTAACTCACGAGGGGCAGAAGACAGCGGAGTTGGAAAGTTTTCCCTCAGTGCTTCATACCAGGCATTTGCATACTGGCCAAATCTGGAAGAATCACAAACATCAGCAGTACCAGCTTGTCTTTCAATAGCATCTCTCTCCCATGGTTTACTGCATGCTGCCATCACTGCCCGGACGTCACCCATCGCGACATCATGACCTGTAAACCATGTGTTCAGACTGGAAATCCAGTTTCCAGCTCCCTGACACAATGGAGGCATTTTGTCTTTTATAGTCTGCATGTCACTTACAGAAAAAGGATGGTACTCCCCAGCTGCGCCTCGTCCTGGTCTCAGAGGGAACATGGATTTTGTCTGAGACCTGGTTCTGCTTGCCACCGGTCTAGTTTCTCCAGGCTCCCGGTCTCCGTCATCACTACTATCGTCAGAAGAGAATTTAGCTCCTTTTCTAGCCTGTTTAGCTTTAAGTATTGGCTGGGCCATGGCACCGTCTCCCTTTTCATTTTCACTGTCCGTCCTAGTCATGGCTCTGCGTGCGGCTTTATTAATTAATTTTGCATTCTCCTGTCTAGCGGTCTCGTAATCATGGCTCCTACTTGGGGTTTCTTCTCCCTCAACTCTGTCTGTGGTGCATTCAGAGGTCGGTTTCCTAGCTCTAATATTTCTGAGAGAGTGCAGGAGCAGCTCCTGCACCTCTTGGATGGGTGGGGGTTGGTGAGGGGTGTGTGGGAGCTGTGGCGGGCTGCTGACAGCTGGATTTTGACTCGGATCTCTATTGTCCCCCACAGACTCCTGTTCTGTCCCTTCGTCAAATTCACTGTCTACAAAGTCATTGTCCCCTCTCTTTCCTACCGCCACTTCTCCTGAAAATGTATATTGTGGCAATATTAGATTTGGCTTACCTGGTTCTAAACCTAGAGAATATTTTGGTGGAGCCGTGGGTAGGGATGGGTATATATTACTCACCGGCATTGCTCCGTTTTCTGTTTCCTTGTCTTTACTTACCATCGGTAATTTTGCCAACGCCGTGGCAGCCAAAGCAAAATTATGTACCTTGGTCCTCAGTTTCTCAGCCTTTTTTAGTTCCTTCTTAATTTTTCTACGCTCATTCCAACTCTCTCCCTGCTTTCCCTCAAGCTCAAGTTTATGCTGTTTTAAATTATTTTCCTCTTCCCGCAATATCTTAGCCAATGCGGACGCTGTCATATACTCAGGTATGACCCTTTTGTTCTGTATTTTTTCCCATGCTTTCACAGCCTTTCGTTTTGCCTTGTTCCTATATTTTTTATCCAGACCACTCAGAATCTGAGCCTCTATTTCTCTATATAGCTGCTCGATTGGAATGCCTGTCTCCATTTTTCGGGGGGGCCCAAAATTCCCCCAGGTTCCAATGGTGAAAACCTAACTTGTGTGTTGACGCGTCCGTCAACCACGCTAGTCACAGCGGGCTTTCCTGTTTCTGGCAAGGCTTCTCAAAAAATCTTTACTTTTAATGTATTCTCGCAGGGTTCTAGCTACTTAGACTCCTATTTTATTTAATTTTAACGTATTTTCGCAAGGCTCTCACTACTTTTTAGGCTTTTACTATTTTTACTTTTTGAATTAGCTCCTCCGTGGACAAAACTTCTCTCCCCTTAATTTGTGTAGTCCAATATGCAGATTTTTAATTAGTCAAAAGGTATCTGCTTACCTTCAGTTCAGCGGCCGCTTTGAGGAGAGACGCAGAGTCCACGGGAAGGCGAAAAGTCATCAAAGGGATCACGTCGAGGGTCACCAATTATTATATTAAAAAATGACGTGTTCAAAATCCCTTATAAAGATGACCATGATTCAGGAAGTTAAATTCAAAAAGGTTTATTTCCCTAATACAAAAAGAATCTAAAACAGCTGTTCGGACCAAAAGTAACTATCCCTTATTCTCTATATAAAATATAAAAGTATGATTTTGGTGGGCGCTCCACGCAAATCACACTCCTGTCCCTGGTCCGGTCTAGACTAACACAAGCATGAGGTTATTATAAGTAAATGTGCATGAAGAAGGGGGCGTGTCGTATCAGGCAGATGTCTGGTCCAAGGTCCGGCCTTTTCCTCCGTCTCGCCAAACCTAAACAGAAATCATTCACGCACTACCCCTCCCTAATTCTATCGATTTATTAGTTCCTTTGAGATAAGGCAGAGGGATCTCAAGGCTTCTCCTCCAGATTCTGGACTCCATCTCCTTCTTTCACAACTTGAAAGGATTAGCAGAATCCCCCCAGATTAACTATCATTAACTCACCCATGCACTTTGGACAAAATGGGACAAGGGGAGTTGGGCAATACAAGGTCTTTCTTTTTGCTTGGAGACAGACAGAGTTCAATTTCAGGTCAATCTAATTCACATCGCCTTTTAGCCTATATTTAATACAACATGACCTAGCTATTTAAATGCATGGCCCCTCCTTCCTCCTGCAGATAGACGAATTTAAATACATTATTTTAACAATAGTGACCTGCGAGTAATGAGATTAATGCTGTAAAAATGGCGCCGTGCAAGAGTTCTGGTGTGTGCCGTCTGGAGCACGATGGGGTAGTCTTTGCACATTTTTCCAACGTGGTTTTACTGCAAGTGGCAGAACATGAATCTGAATTATGCACATTGCTCCTCTTATATCCCTCAGACAATAGAGATTGATGCCATTTAATATGCATTGCCCCTCAGTTAGCTCAAACACGTGTGAAAACGGAGCCTGCAGACCAAGCACGGGGCGAAAACGGAGCCTGCAGTCAAGTGCGTAGGGCAAAAACCAGCCGCCTGCAGCCCAGACTCCGGGATTAATCCGTCCGCGGTCGGCACACTCACTGTACTCACATGCCAGGAGACTTGGGAAAAGCAACGGGACAACGCGGCACCGCCAATCGGAGGCAGGGACATGCACGGCACCGCCAGACCGTCTGCGCGCGGCAGCAGACCACGAGGAACGAGCAGCACAGAACCGCGGAGGGGCCCCGCGGAGCAGCCCGCAGAAGAGCCCGCAGAGGAGGAGAGCAGTGGAGACACGCGAACCACAGCAGGTGCAGGGACGCGGAGGAGGAGCAGACCACGAGCAGCCAGACTGAGGACAGCCGGGCCACGCGCACGAGCAACACGTGAGCAGAAAGCGACCCCTCCAGAACAACGCATGCATTTGCGAACAGGTGCGTTAGCGACATGCACCTTGCAGGCTTCAGAAGTTTGCAACCTTCAGAAGGCCGGGAAGTGGGCGTCTCCGGCTTTTAACTTGCTGTCCTGGTGGTTATTGGTGGATAAGATGTGGGCGTTTTGCTGGTGTAATGAGTAGAGGATGAGCAGGCTTGTAGATCTGGCGGCAGCGGCCGGGTCTACCACAGTGAACTTTCGCGAAGAGCTCCATCTCTGTGTGGAGCGAGAGACAAATGCCCTAAAAAAAATAACAATTGTAAACCGCTTTGAGACTCCGATGTGCAGTGAAAAGGCGGTATATAAATAAAGATTACTTACTTACTTACTAAAGTGCTTTTTTTTTTTTTATCATTTCCTGTGTTTGAACAGGTACTGCTGTCACCTTACATTGTGTGCACCTGTTGTGTGCACTTGTATATTGTAAATAGTAACTGTAACTCTATTTTAAATTTAAATGTATTCTTTAGAAGTGTTTTTTATTCTTATTTTTATTATCTCTTTCTGACTGTTGCACTGAGCCAAAGCAATTTCCAAGTCTGTGACCTCCTGTTACTTACGTGGCAATACAAATGATTCTGATTCTGATTCTGATTCTGAACAGTTTGATTCCCTTATCTGCGTTGGCGAATCGATAACTTTGTAAAGCCCTCCGAATTAACTACTGTTGTGATTTAGGAACATGCAAAAATAAATTGAATTGGATAGTCCATTATAAAGCAAATCCCTGGTCCTGCTTTATACACGGCGCTGTCACTTTTAAAAAACTGATTGTGAAAGTTTGTTTTGTCCTTTTTATTTTTCCGACGTGTTCCAGTCTGCCCCGTGATGTAAAGCTGACACAGGTCTAAAAAACACACCAACCTTTGCCACTGTTGGTGTGCCGGGCCAACACAGCATTTCAACACGTGTCGAAAAAACATAAAGCCGCAGTGGGAAAAAGCCGCCTCGGACATACTGAGACAGTTGGATGCATGGGCTCGATTTCTCCACTGTACGGTCAGTGTTGTTATGGTAAACAGGCTCTGGTGGAGATGTCCTCTGAGCTCGAGTTTCACCACGGAGGCAGGTTACAAGAGACAAAATGCACACAAAATGCTGCCGGTGTTGGGCGGAACTAGGAGTGTACTGTGTTTGCTTGTGTAGTACAGCTTCTAGACGGAGGACAGCAGACACACAGTTCTTTCAGTCAGATAAATATTGTAATGTTTACCTGTAATATTGTATTTTTTCGTGGTCACATAATCTGCATTTACACAATATCTTCATGTCCTTGGTGTGTCTTGAATTCCCTTTCTGTGCTTTCATGATGTTTCTCTTGTGACCTTACCTGTTAGACTGTACTCAGAGCAAAAATAAATAACACAACGATACATGCATTATTACTGCTTCTCAACATCTCGCAAAGGAAACTATACCTGGAATAATTATAATACATTGTTATAGTGGTTAACAGTTCAAAGGTTCACAACAAAATCATATATTTTTAATGGAAGAATGTAATCAAAAGTTGGCATGGAGCAGGAAGCTGATTCCTATGGTTCAGCTGAGTGCCTTAGCTGATCCATAGGAATCGGCTAAGGCACTAACAGATTAATTGCAACTACTTTTTTTCAATAATCCATCTATTAGAAATTAGAAAACGATTTAGTCATTGTTAACTGTTCTTTTTTCAGTGCTGTGAGGTGTGATTGTAAAACTCAAACAGCAGTAACAAACAATAAAACACAAAATGCATCAATGTCTCAATGTCTCAATGTCTGGTTAGTACTGTGATGAGAGAACTCTGGGAACACCAGGTGCCACAGCGCGGCGGCTGTAGCGGTAAAGTGCTATGTCCTTAAGCAAGACACTTCACCTACATTGCTTACAATGAGTCTGGTGTGTGTGTGAATGTTTGGTGGTGGTCGGAGGGGCCGATGGCACATACTGGTTGCCTCGCTTCAGTCAGTTTGCCCCAGGGCAAATGTGGCTACCGTTGTAGTTTGTCAGAGCTGTGTATGGAGTGATTGAATAATGACATGTAAAGCGTCTTTGAGTGTCTGGAAAAGCGCTATAAAAAACCAATGCTTTATTATTATCATTATTAGAATGCTGATTAAAATTACTTATCTGAATTTTTAACAACTATAGATGGAATATTCTCTAGAGTTGCAGCTCTTGTGATATCCTATAAGGCTAGTTCTGAAATTATAATAATTATAATAATGTTGAGCAATAAGAGTTTGAGTAAAAAGTTATCTTGAGGGTTAATGGAGTAATTTAGTACAATCATTTCAGCCAATCCAAATGCATTATTGCGCAGCATCTGGTTACACACATACATTTTAAGTGCTTATAAATAACTAATGGACATTCGTCTGTGAGGTAATCACCATGATCCTAGCTCTGTGCCAGGCTCCACTGTCAACACCGTCATTATGTACTTCCTGTTCGATGCATGATGTATTCCTCTCTCTCTGAGCACATCACAATGGGTTTCTATGGCTATAACCCAATATTACGATGGAAGGCAGCCAAAGCATATTACTGTGTCTCCTGTGAGGCTGCAGGTTCACAGACTACAGAAGCAGGTAGATTCAGGCTGCCGGCCAAGATTCCTCCTCCAGTGAGTCACATGGGCTGGTCTTTCTCGCATAGACACAGAAACAGGCACACGCACGCACTAGACCTAGGACGAGGCGTACTTGCTGATTGCACAAGCCCATTTTACCCCTCCCCCAGTTCTGCCTCTCCTTCGTTCGGTCTCTCTGTCAGTCGCACACCCACTCATAAATACACACGCTGCTGCTGCGATCACTGCCAAGAGGAGCGGACCCAAGCATGTACAGGCGCCCCCCAGACCAAAGGCTTTGAAATGAATTAAACCCGCATTTGGGATATCTGCTATTTCCTTCTTTCATCGCGAGTATTGGATATCGCCGGCGTCTAATCGTGGAAGCCATTAAACCCTGCTTATCACTAGACTCTGGGACCATTATTCTTCAGAGCTGTCAGCAGAGGAGACAAGGCTGAGAAAGCACAGGTCACTCAATGAGAATCCGCAGAGCTGGGATTGCTGAATGAATTTCATGTTTGTATTTTCTATTTTGGTTGCTCACACACAGCCACGGTTGCCGGCTCGTGTTGACATTAAGATATTTCCTTTTTTTTCTTCCGTTGCAGATGACAAGGAGGACACCGTCTTAGGAAGTTTGCCACTGCTCAGCTTCCGAGTCGGAGGAGTGGAGCTGTCAGATAGCATCACCCGCAAGTTTGCCTTTAAGGTCAGTAAAACGTGACCGAGCGCTTTGTTTTGATTTGGCATTCTGCACGTGCAAAAGGCTGCTACTGAGCTGCAGGGTGAGTCTCCGAGCTGGTCTCTCCTGGAGGACGGAGAACTGGGTCCGGTCTAGCTGGTTGGTTGGCTGGATTTGGAATGATGGATGGCAGCTGACTGAGTAATTAGGTTATTGATGAGGAGAGCAGAGAGAGTAAAAAACATGTATGAGAGGTATCTGTGTGACTTTGGCTGGAAAGGCCATTCTTGAATCAGAATTCTTTGATTGCCATGTGAGTACCAAAAAGTCACAATCTAGAAAATAGCTTTGGCTCTTGGTGCAAGCAGAGAATATTATAATATTATAACATTTCTTAAAATTACTACTGTATTGCTGATTATTACTATTGTTATCTTTTTAGAATGGTCAATTTAATTAAATTTTTTGCTGCTACTGGACACCTGAATTTCTCATACGGGGATCAATAAAGTATCTATCTATCTATCTATCTATCTATCTATATGCTTGCAAACGGCAACTGAAAACTGCTATATAATCTGATGTTCTTTGATTACAACTATGATGGAGTGGAGAGCTCTCTTTGACAAGTTCTGTAATGCATTATCTGGCTGTGGTCAGGGGCAAGTCCATGCACAACTCACCGCTGAACAAAGTCAAACATTGCTCTGGAGATATTGCCGTATTTGCTCAAACACGTCCATGTTAAAGAAAAGGGCGTCTCATTTAGTGTATTCAAAATCAGCTGCCTGAAGCGTTGTAATCTGTGTTTGTCTAACGTTTACTGTTCACTTATTATTGTGATCTTATCTTTCTGTGAGTTCAGCTAAATTACAGGAACGTTTTGGTCTATCAATGATAAAAAAAAAAAAACAGACTTCCAATTCCTGTGAATGTCCTGTACAGCAGTGCAAAGTGCAATGGCCGAACTCTGGGTAAACACGTGTGAAGCGACTGACCAAACAGACACGATGTCCCTTTTGGATAATTGACTGACCGGAGGCAAACTCAATATAAGCTGTAACTGTGTTCGTCCGGCTCTTTCTAATGCACTTAACGCTGGGGCTATACCTAACTTGTTTTCCCCCCCTAAATAATACATGTTTATGCCAACAGAAAGAATCCTGTAAAGATACAAATGTTGTGAACAAATCAGACCACATCATGTCGTCATTGTGTATAGAAAAGCAAGGAAAGGCAAGAGCACAATTCATACACAGGGCAAGATAGAAACAAAATCACACAAGGCATTAAAATCATATTCACTATACATATAAAAGAGTAAAAGCACAGCTAAACTGAACTGTTTTATCCTGGTTTTAAACCTTGACAGAGAAGAAGACTGTCTCACATTTTCAGGAAGACTGTCCCAGATTATAGCCGCATGAATCTGAAATGCTAACTCCCCATGTTTCGTTTTGACTCTGGGCACCAGCTCCCGGCCCAAAGAGGCAATTATTGACTCACAAGGCTCTTTCTTATGTATGCAAAAGATAACTATGTATGCAAGAGATGTTTTCTACTATTTTTTTGTGGTAGAAGTTCAATTTTTAAGACTTATTCATGCTACAGAATTATTATTATTTATTATTAACCTTTTTTTAACCAGAAAAGTCCCACTGAGATTGCAGAATCTGTTTTTCAGGGGAGTCCTGGTCCCAGAGACAAGGAGCGGGAGTTAAGAAGGTTTATTGTACATGTTTTTAGTGGGAGGTGAAACCGGAGCCCACGGAGGAAACCTACACAGACACAGAGAGAACACGCAAACTCCACACAGAAAGACCTCTGGAGGTGTAATCGAACCCAGGACCTTCTTGCTGTGAAGCACAAGCGCTAACCACTGCGCCGCCCAAAGCCTTATTACCGTCGCACAGCAGGCGTCAGCTCAAAGTCTGGACTCAAAAAGTGACTGTTGCAGAATCCGTTATCGTTAATACCTCAATCACAGCAGCACATTGTGACAAATCTCCAATGTGGCTTTGGATGTAAACACAAACTGTAGCGCGTGAGTTTGGATTTGAATTACCACATGCTTTTCAAGTTCTTCTGGTGTTTTTGTTTTGTGTGTTTCCTTTTCTAATCCGGATTGATAGCTGCGGTTTAGTGAAGACCATGTTATGAATTCCACAGCCGCCAATGACCTGTGATAAGACTCTATCAGGGCCATGTCTCATTAGTAAGACCACACAGGCTCCCTCAATTACACAGGGATAATTATGTTAAACAATGTTAAACAGAATTGTATGTGTGCAAATGTGAAAAACCAGTGCACTTGAACTATACCTGGTTCTCTGGCCTGTAATAAGAGACTGCTCTGAGTTGGGCCTGGAGGTGGTAATCTAAACCATTTTTGTCGTTCACTCCTCCAGCTCATGTGAACTCTGTGGCTGTCGCTTCAGTTGTATGCTTTTGAATGTGACGTTAGGACAAGAAAATGCTCAAAGGTCGAGGTTTGGTCAGATTTTAATCCAAAAACCTGTTATCAGGAGAGTGAGCTGCTGTCACCTTGGCTGACTGTTTGTCTATGACACAGACTGGAGCTGTCTGTGGAGGACGTCTGGTCATTTCAAATATCTTGATTAAACAAACTCCTTTTGGACAGGGCTGGATACACATGGATTTAAGCCTGTTAAAACATCATATAAATTACTAAATGTTTAAATGGGACAACACGGTTTTGGCAAAACATATAATTGCGTTATTCCTGACCAATGTTGGAATGCAATTTTCCATTTCCTGTTTCAATGTCAAAAAGTTACAGTTGAGTAAAAATAACTTCTTGAGAGTCTGAAAAAGCGTACATATGTAACGAATCCCACACAGTTCACACAGCTCTATTGAGTTCTAAAGAGTTTATTGAGTACAACCAATTTTTTGCTCTTAGAAAAGATTCACTGCAAACATGTTAAATGTATAAAAACACTCCAAGTATTTGTTAATTTCTCTCACAAAATTACTATAGGTAGATTTTTTTTGTGCAACATGGTTTTACGGTTTATACAAAATATGAAAAAGACGAGATGCCTCTTTTGGAATGAGAAAATGATGCCTCTGTCAAGACAACAGGACGAAAGATACTCTTCCATTGACACTGTACTAAAATTTTAAATAGTTGTAGTTTTTGTGATTAGTAGTTTTTTGATTTGATTGGGATGCAGTCCGACGTTGACACAAAAACAAGAGAACCCAAAATGCAGGAATGCAATTTAATATGCTTTAATGATGGTATCAATAAATTTCCAAGGTAAAAATGAACACAACAACAGCAACAACAGGGGATTAGCACAGGGTTGGTATAGATGCTGCGTTCATGGGATCTCAGAAACTCAGAGGTTCTGACTTCAAACTAGGAAAATTAGGAATTAACTCAGAAATTCAATTCGAAGGCTCAGGTGGGATCAGTGGTCTCAAAGGGTCACAGTCGGGTCACTGTGACATGTGTCAGATTGTGATTGGATAAAAGAATGGAGAGAGACTGAGGAGGATGTGTCTCACTAATGCTTTTACTTCTCAAAATAAACATTTGTGAATTCAGGGCCACAAAAGCTTCGAAGGAGTGTATAAGATTGTATGCGCTTAAAGTATGTGTGTAAGCACGTTTATTATTATTTTATTATTTATTTTTATTTTATTAAGGAAAAACACATTTGCTCCTGTAACGAATCCAGTGATATTTCTGCACATTTTTTTATTATTGGTGTCACTGCTGCCCTTGTATGTGTGTGTCTCTGTGTGTGTGTGTGTGTGTGTATGTGTGCAGTTGTGTGTGTGTCACCAGCGTTGGCCGCTCCGCACGAGTGCTCTGATTTTGGGAAATGGGAAGATTACTTAGATTTTAGAGTTTCCGAGAACACATGAAAGGGGCATTACAATACAATACAATACAATTTATTCTTGTATAGCCCTAGGTCACAACAGAAGTCATCTCAGAGGACTTAACAAAACCATTGAAATCACCAACACAGGTCAGAGAATCAACAGTTAAAACACATGAAGAATATAAAGCACACACAGAAGAAAATGTCCATACATGTTGTAGAATGCTAAAGTGTCCTGATCATCACCAATCCTTTCTGTTGGACACTAACTGTCCAACAAGACCCTCCTGCATCGACAAGGAAAAACTCTTAAAAAACCCAGTGGGAAAAAGTGAGAAACCTTGGGGAGAACTAGGGAAACCCACAGGGAGGGAGACCCATTTGAGAAAGGGATCCGCTCCTCCGGACGGACAGGCTAATGATCCAGGACCTAAGCTAGCTACAGAACGTGGACCAGTGGACGCTGAACGTGGACAGGTCCGGTGCAGGACTGAAGCACTCCCAGGCGGGTCGGGCGGGGCAGTCCGCAGGTGTAGATGGAGGAGGCCAGGCTCAGAGATCCCGTCATCGTACCATGAAACAGACAATGGGACAACGGGTGAATAGCAATGAACAAACTACAGTCAGAATCCTAAAAATGCTAAACAGATAAAGTAGGAAGGAGGAGAGGATAGTACTCAAGTTACCATACTTCTCCCAGCAAACTGACTCCCTATGCAGCTTGACTGACACTCTGAGGAGTTTAACCTTCTCCGAGTCTTACCTTCCTAGCCATATGCTAAACTAAAGAGGACTGTTTTAAACCTAGCCTTGAATAAAAAATAACATACAGCATAATATATAACATAATATACAACATAACACAATACATTATTGAATAATATATAACATAATATATAACATAATACAGCATATATATATATAATATATACACTACATATTATATATTACCTAATTATATGCTAAATTAAAGTAAAGTGCTTTAAGCCTGGCCTTGAATGTGGAGACCGTATCTGCTTCCTTAACATAAATGGGAAGCTGATTCCACAGTAAAGGAGCTTGGAGCTAAATGCTCTGCCACCAACAGTGACAGAAATTACACACAGAAAGACACAGGTGAAAGTAAAAAAAAACACAAAGAACTAATACGTGAAAATAAAACCAGTCCAC